CTACCTACCTACCTACCTACCTACCTACCTACCTACCTACCTACCCTGAATAGGATATAAATTACTCTCTGACTCTATTTCTCTTTTTTCCATTTTCTGTCGTGAAAATGAACTGCAAAGTACTAATGTGAAATCAATTATCTGGGAAGGTCTATGGGGATTCCCAGTCATCCAGGTGACTGTTGTCCCAAAGGTGCTTTATAAACAGGCAATTGGGACTTTCTTTGTTTTTCTTTGAAGACGTGTCACTTCTCATCGAAGAAGCTTCTTCAGCTTCTTCGCTTCTCATCCAAGAAGTGAAACGTCCTCAAAAAAAAAAAAAAAAAAAAAGTCCAGTTGAAGAAAACACCTTGGGGACAATTAATCTGGGAAGTGAGTTTGAATTCGTGTTGGTTGTAACCACTTCAGTCTTCAGATGCTTTTCTCCTTGTCTACAAGAATCGGGGAAAACATAAGAAGAAATGAAAAATGGATATTGACAGAGTAAAATACAGGATGAGTAATGGATATTGCAGATGATTAATAACAAAGTTTCCTGCAGATCAATCAAAATGAACATAAAAACCACCTTAATTTTTTTTTTAAAAAAATTAAGTTGACCTTTGAATTTAGTCTTACACACAAATGTACAGTAAACGTCTGCAGGATATGAATCAAATAAATAGATAAAACTTTGCTTTTTCAGTAGTGTTTTGAGGGATCCTGTGTCCTGCTCCTTTATTAGGTAGTTTTTCCCCCCATCATTTTTAATATTCAGCATAAATGAGTACATACATGTCCATCATCCTGTTCCTTTATAGAATAAATAACATCATGCAAGTAAGAACTGGTAAAGAAAACAAGCTGGAAGTAATAGAAGAAGAAAGGAAACCTGGTTAAGTCTAGTTTACACCAACACCTTTCAATATGAATGGTTTTACTACTGTATTTTTCTGAGTATAAGTCACACTTTTTTGCCTCAAAAAAGCAGCTGAAAATCTGGGTGCGTCTTATACACTGAATACAGCATTTTTTTGCCTCCCGAACCCCCCCCCCCTTCACCAAAATGCCCCTGCATAGCTCTTAAAGGAGGCTTTCAGAGGGCTCCTGGGGGCTTGGGAGGACAGAAATGAGCAAAAAACTGTCCTTTTTTTGCTCAATTTTGCCCCCAGCCCCAGCCCCCAGGAGCACTCTACAAGCCTCCTAAAGGCTATCCATGCCCTTTTTTAAATTAAAAAATGGGCTCGTTTTTGCAAAAAACAGGCCGTTTTTTGCTCATTTTTGGCCCCCCACCTCCCAGGATCACTCTACAAGCCTCCTAAAGGCTATTCATGCCTTTTTTTAAAAAACTGGCCTGTTTTTGGGAGTTTTGCAGAGTGCAAAAACTTTCTTTAAAATTTGCCTCTTCAAAATCTTGGTGCGTCTTAAACTCTGGTGCGTCTTATACCCCGAAAAATATGGTATGTCCAGATAAAATGTTACAATTAATGGTGAGTTGTCAATATCTAATCAAAGTCTGCCTAATTGTACAGGCAGTTAGTTGCACAAACAACATTTAATATGACTTTCCCTATTTTATTTACAATGCGTTCTTGCTTTTATTATATCCTCATATGAATTCACGCCATGTTTTTTGGTCTTTAAATATCTTATAGTTTTGTGACTTTCTGAGTCTTCCCCTCCCTTACGTGCATTCTTCTTTCAAATATTTGTTTCGCAATTTGGATTGTCACTTAACTCCTTTCATATTACCGAATAACACGAACGTACATTTTTTATTGTGTTTACTTACGTTTATATTCAATTCATATTTCTTTAGCTCCTGTTTGTTTTTGACCTTACCTCCTCTTCTTTTTAACAAGTATACTTCATTGCCACCCTATTCAGTTTATGTTTTTGCTTCTTTCCCTCTCGTAAAACTCTCACTTCTATATCAAGTAGCTACATAAAAACATGTGCTTCTCCCACAGACAATACGCTGTCATTATTGTTTTTTCTCCCAGTTTTTGCACTTTTTAAACATTCTCCATCCGTTTTCTGATTTTTAGTAAGCGTTCAACCAGTTGTGCCCTTTATTTATTTGATTTATTTATGTATTAGATTTTTTCCCTCTTTTATTAGCCTTAGAATAACTCAAAACTATTGATTCTATCTTTTATTGGTTTGATTGTTTTTTATATGAGGGTTTTATAGTCTTATGAGCTGCCTTGCCATGTGCGAATAGGCGGCTGTTCTGACCCCCTCCTCTGTCCAGTAACGAAATCCTAGACGAGCTTAATTAGAATGCCCTTTAATAACAAGACTAGAATCTCGGTGGCTGAAAGCCAAGCAAACAAACAGATAAGGACCTTGGCAGCAAGTCCGACAAACCTTGGCAGCAAT